CTCTGTAGCTCAGTTGGTTAGAGCTTGACAACTGTCTCTCTGTGGCTCAGTTGCTTAGAGCTTGACAACTATCTCTCTGTAGCTCAGTTGGTTAGAGCTTGACAACTGTCTCTCTGTAGCTCAGTTGGTTAGAGCTTGATAACTGTCTCTCTGTAGCTCAGTTGGTTAGAGCTTTACAACTGTCTCTCTGTAGCTCAGTTGGTTAGAGCTCGACAACTGTCTCTCTGTAGCTCAGTTGGTCAGTTGGTTAAAGCTCGACAACTGTCTCTCTGTAGCTCAGTTGGTCAGTTGGTTAGAGCTCGACAACTGTCTCTCTGTAGCTCAGTTGGTTAGAGCTCGACAACTGTCTCTCTGTAGCTCAGTTAAACATTTCACTAAAAGCACTATCATGCAGCAGATGGTGGTCAACCACCATTGGAGAAAAAGTGTAATAAACAATATCTAATAGGAAATCTGTTACAGACAGGCTTAGCCACTGCAGAGCAAGTGTTCATAGTGTACCTATCTGTCCTGGACAGACCATTGCATTACACTGTCTGCTTTCCTCATCACCACCAATCCCCAGATCAGCACAGTCTAGACCACCATCTATGGGTAATGGTGATGTACAGTTTCTTGTTCTCATCTGGCTACCACTATCACAGGATTTGGTACAGCTGGACCACAATGACCATTCTGTATAACCACCATCAACTACAGTAACAAGAAAATTAATATAATATATAAAACGTCGTAGGTGATGAAAATAAAATGACAAAAGTCAAACCTGGATTTGGACACATTTTGTCTTTTTTGCTTCGATCTTGTTCATACAATGGACCTAAATTAAAAGGATGGAAATGCTATAAGAGTTATTGTTCGTAGGTTAATACACTGTCACAATCTGTAGGTTTAATCAGAGGTTTAATCTTATTGTATACAGAACTCAAGACATTTGTTTGATTATTTAAGGCTTGTACTAGACGAACAATTTATTGACAAACAAATCCATACCAGGTGACTCTCTCATCCAATACCAGACCACACTAGGACTGGGGTCAGTTTCCTTTATCCAGGAGGGGGTGTCTTTACTGATGATCGAACCAAACTCCTCACCCTTTTTGCCTTCCGACGTAGTGAGTAGGGAACTACCGCTGGACAGCCAAGGCATTCGCTGGCTCAAACTTTCTTTGCCATACTTCCAAGAGCCGAATTTAGCGACATCCAATACTTTGACTTGTGAATTGTCTTTCTTCGTGAAACTGCAAAAAGATATGATTTAGAAAGATTACCGGATACCAGGCAGTATCCTACTGTTTCCTACCTATACCCTACTATATCCTACCTATATCCTTGCGGTGCCTTCCATATCCCTCCATTCGAGCCTCGTTCCGAAGACTCCAGACGAAACTCAAATCCTCCTGTAGAAATCTTCTTCACGCCATCCGCGTATTTCAGAATGGAATAATCATTTGTGATGCTGGGCTCTTCCTCATTCCTGGCAAAATAAAATTAAGTTCAGTCTTAAAAACTATACTAAACTAAGCTAGGACGCGAAATAACGGCCAGTCACTGGACAATGTCCGGCCAGAATGCGGAGTTGTCGGGTCAAATTCTTACCTTGCCGCTCATTTTGACATTTGAAGCTCTGCTATTTGAAAAGGGAGTTCTGCTATTTGAAAAGGGAGTTCTGCTATTTGAAAAGGGAGTTCTGCTATTTGAAAAGGGAGTTCTGCCATTTGAAAAGGGAGTTCTGCTATTTGAAAAGGGAGTTCTGCCATTTGAAAAGGGAGTTTTGCTATTTGAAAAGGGAGTTCTGCCAGAAAAGGGAGTTTTGCCATTTACGTAAACTTTAGCTTCGATTTTCTCGGCTTTGACAAAGTTGATTTTTAAAATTACTTCGTCAATGAACTCATAAGATGGGTCGTCTTTTAAGCCATTTAAAACACTCGTAATCCGTGCTTTATCACATTTTAGACACTCGGCTGTCGCCTGCTGTTTTATATCTGATAAAGAACTCCTGCTCGTGTTTTCAACAGTACCAGATAGCTTTTGGCCTGCTCATATCCTGAACTTGTTTCACAGATAACTTTGTCAGTATAAGAAAAGTTATTTTAGCTTGGCAAGATTTCTACTCATCTACAATCTTACTAAATCTCATACCTCAGAAGTACAGTATTGCCATCCCAACCCCCTCTTGATCGTGACGTCACTAACAGTGTCCAGCCACCGCCATCTTTAGTCATATCACAGTAGGCCTTAGTCTCCGCTCCGTCCTCACTCAAGATTGTATAAACACCATCTACGTTGGCATGACAACGTCGTTTGTATTCCAAGCATGAGCGTACTGGCACTAGGAAAGGTTTAGAAAGAGATTGACAAGATCAGAATGAAACAAGTTACTGTTTCAAGCAAAATGCCTTCGAAGGCAGTTGCTGGAAAGGTCGAAGTGTTTTTCAAAGGGTTTTTTTCGGGTAGGTAAGATATACAAACCACATTGTAAACAAAAATATTCATTCAAATAACAAAATTATTGTATAATAAACAAAGGATATACCTTTTGGAACTGTAGAGTTTCGTCAAATATAAAAAGAGAAAAAGACTTTAGTAAGATGTTCAAAAGTATGTTCTATAAAGGTGCTACAACATGAGGGTTTCCAGGGATGGATCCACCATGATCCGGTAGGTGCTCTGCCAGCTCCGGTGCCGAGTTGTGTCGGTCATGTGTGCCGCCCACCCATCAACTTGCTTCACTACTGCAAAGTCTTGCTTGACTACGGTATTTGAATTGTAATTGTTGTCCACAGTTCGCTTGTCATCATGTTATTACTCAAATTACTGTATCTCATTTTGCCTCTAATAATTTTTTGCTTTATCATAAAAAATAGCACCCCTCTGGCCAGGGCTGAGAAAAATAATGCTAATTGTACAATAGGACGCAACGCCAATTAAAGGGTAAATTTGCTTACTCCTGTAAGTATCCACAGTTCTAAAATTTAACAGCATTCACTGTACCAATAGACAGGTATATACAGTATTTGAATCTTGTATCTTCAACCTACCTGGACATTTGTCTGTTTTACAAGCTTTACTCTCGGTATCAGGCCCAATGGCGGAGAGACAGTCTTTGCCACCAAACTGAGGCTCTGGAAATGTACACGATCTTCGTCTAGTACTCAGTCCTCCACCACATGTAAGCGAGCAGTCCATCCACTCACTCCAGGCACTATAACCTCCATCAACTAAAGAAAAAACCAGAGTTGATTAACTATCCTAAACCCAACCACTGGATAGCTCTATGAGTTCTAAACTGCCCTTTTTTCCAGTGTTACTAAAGCACAACTAACTTTTGTGCCAGATAGTTCTATCAGTTCCAAACTGTTCTTCCTAGAGATCTACGAGGGGTCACCTCTTATTCAGGGTTCGTACATGTCAGGAAGAGTCAAATTCAAGGACTTTTCAAGGACATTCAAGGCCAAGTATCAGCAAATTCAAGACTAAATACTGAAGAGAAGGCGTTAGAAATCAGCAAAATCTGACGTTGAATTGTTCAAAACGTAACTTTATAATGAGGTCAGATATGAACATGCAAAATCAGTTCAACAAAATGTCCGTCTTGAATGTCAAACAATTTCAGAAAATATCCAAAAACTAAAGCAAGAAAAATTTAAGGACATTCAAGTACTTCTTTACAAATTCAAGGACATTCAAGTACTTCTTTACAAATTCAAGGACATTCAAGGCCTTGAATTTTTGTTTTCAAATTCAAGGACATTCAAGGACTTTCAAGTTTTGTACGAATCCTGCTTATTGCATGGTCTAACGTCACTACAGAAACGTTTGGAGAAAATAACATAGAGGAACATACCTGGACATTGCTCTGTGTTGCAAAATCGTGATTGAGTTTGCTCGCCATTTTTGCTCGCCCTCGACTGTATTCCCATGCCACAAGTCTTCGTGCATTCTGACCATTCTGTATATTCTGTTTCGTTGCGAAATTCTGGAAAGAGTAAAGTTAAAAGAGAGTGAACCAGAAGCTTCCGGTTTTCGTTACGATCTAAGACGACGAATCCGTTTCTATGCCTTTTAATCTTTTCTCTGAACTAAACTAAACTAACTTTATTTAAAACTGGATAGCTGTATCAGTTCTAAACAACCCTCTAGAGAAACCAATAGGAGCCAGCCCTCCTTGGTCCAGTGTCATTAAAAGACGAAATCTGAACTAAACTAACCCAATTTATACTGGATAACTCTATTAATTCTAAGCTGTTCTTCCCAGCCAGAGGTAAAAGTCATCCCTCAAAAAGATCAAACACGATATTCTACCTGGACATTTGGCGATGAAGCAAGATCTTTGATCAGTCGCGGGTCCAACGGTAAGACAATCTTTTCCTCCATTTTGTGGAGTTGGGTTCGTGCACTGTCGTTCTCTGTATTGTAAACCTTCATTACAAGTACTTGAACACTCAGTCCAGTTCGACCACATCGTGTATCCACCAGGTACTACAGTGGATGCAAAAATATACCAGCATATAAATTAACACAGGATACTTCACAAGGTTTTATATTGATTAATATAAAACCTTGAAAAGAAATGAATGTTTGAGCAATATCTGTAAATCAGATATGAATAAACTGTAGTGTACCTGGACAAGGAACTTTATTGCATTCACGTTTCTCCAGAGATTCACCAATCAGAGTGCAATCATTCCCGCCAAACTCTGGTACGGGATTTGTACATGCCCTACTACGAACTTGTTCTCCTCCACCACACTCTGCCGTACAGTTCGTCCAATCACTCCACTCACTGTACCCACCTGACACTGGAATGGAAGACAATAAGTTTGTTTGAACAAAACTGCAACATACATTTGCAGACGCACGCAAAATTCTCACATCTTCTAGTAAGTCTGCCAACAAGCCGTCAACAGGTTGTGTTCGCACTGCTTGTCCCAAGTTGTCAACAAGTTATGGAACAAGCTGTTAACAATTGTAACAACCCTGTTGATACGATCAGACCTGTTGCAAGGTTGTCTCAACAAATCCGATACAGTCAATATTGATACAACAATATTGTTACAACCTTGTAACATTCTTGTTATATCATGACTGCATCACACTTTGTTAGTTCCAAACTTGTTCCAACAACTGGGAACAAGCAGTGCGAACACAACTTGTCGACAGCTTGTGAACAGATTTGTAACAACATATTTGCAGACCTGTAACAACTTGTGTGTTGTTATGTGTGTATTTCACATATGCGGTAAAGTTGCTTGAGTCCACAGTACACGTACCTGGACAGCGGTCAGGAGAACAAGGCAATGTCTCTGTTTCGACCCCAAGATCTGCGCAATCTTTCCCGCCAAATGCAGGCGAGGGTGAGGTACAGTTTCTATATCTTGTACGTATTCCCCCACCACATGTGACGCTACATGGAGTCCAATACGTCCAGTCTGAATATTCACCATTTACTACATGAAAATAATTGTATTTGTTACAACGAGGAAGTTTCTGCTGCAACTTGCAATGAAATTTCAAATATACACAGTCAAGCTCGCTTCGTAGCGCTTTGCGTAGCTGATTTGAAACAAGAATTTCTCATGCCATCATGAACGACTTGACTATTTAAACAGCTTATTTCGACATACCAGGACATTCTTTAAGAGTACAGTTCTTCATTTCCAAGGAGGGGCCCAGAAGCTCACATCCCATTCCACCATGCTGAGGTTTGGGGTTAGTACAGGATCTTGTTCTCTGTTCAATCCCAGTACCACACGATGTACTACACTTGCCCCAAATGCTCCATGATGTGAAACCTCCAGGAACTGAAAGACATTCTCAAACTCAGCAATAACTCATGAGGAAAACACAAAAGAAATCAACACTTAATGTTTTGAAACTAGACGTGCAACAGGACACTTTGAAATTGTACGCTTTGAAAGTCTGAAAATTACAACGTTTGGGGAAATCAGTTAAAATACTCGCCTGCAGCTAGCCTTTTCAAAACACATTATTTGGACTTTGAAATCTTGGTAAAGCCTTCTAAATTTTTACCAAAAAACTTCGAAGGGAATTTTCTTACATGTTGCCGGAAATTTTTGTCATCTTGAATACTGGAATGCCATATAATTTATTTATTTTTCAAATTACCCAAATGCGTTTTAGAAGTCGAGATTGTCTTGTGCCGAGTTTATCGCAATGTAAGGCACGATATGTTCTCTGAAATCGAACTATGCAGGAACTTTTATATTTAACTTACACAGGAAATTTTTATTTTTTGCTGCTAAGAAGACAAATATATTTTCTAGGCCTGATATCAAACTAAGCCATTCTACACAAGGGGCGTGAACAAATAACATAAACAAACATCAAAAGCTGTATACAAGAATTTAACCAACACAAAAAGCAAAATACCTGGACAGGGTTGCACGTTACAATTTTGTGTTTCGGTTTTAGGTTGACACGAAGGATTGTTGCCACATTCGCTACTTCTTGACCTCACCCCACCCCCACAGGAAGTACTGCATTCACTCCACTTCCCAAAACCATCTCCTGTTTCAACTGAAAATTACAGAGCGTTGTTACACCATCAAAGTTTCTGTGATCACAGTAGGAGTCTTGCATACGTAAATTCTAAGTTTTGAACGATTTGTAAGAAATGTTTGAGAGATCTGACTCGGTGTTAAATTCTTCTTACAAATCCTTCAAAATGTGGAATTTACCTATGCAAAATTCCTACTGTGATCACACAAACTTTGATAGTGTAAGTGTAATATACTATATAATAAACTATAAATAATATACTGTATAATAAATCGCTAAATAAGTCATTTAATATTTCTATGAAACATTACTTAAAAAATCGTTAAGACAGATAATTTACCTGGACATAGTTGAACGTTACACATCTTGGTTTCCACCAAAACCCCCTGACAATCGTTTCCCATAAACTGGGGTGTGGGGTTAGTGCATGTCCTCATTCTAGACTGGACCCCACCCCCACAGGTTGCACTACAATCTGACCACGCCCCAAACGGAGTGAAGCCACCGTCGACTGAAATAAAGAAATTCACAATTTAGTATTAAAAATCACAATTCTATTCTGACTGACGTGCTGGTCAAACGAGACTGAGAGTTGATGAGGGTTGAGAAGCGAGAGTTTGCATGAGAGTTCTCTCAACTCTCATGCCCCGGTCAAACGAGAACAAGAAGGAAAAATAAACACATTCTTCACTAGAGCCTTACTTGGACACTGTTGTTCATTGCATTTCATGACTTCCACAGGTAGCCCAAACTGAGAACAATCTTTTCCTCCCATGGCAGGCACGGGATTAGAACAAGAGCGAGTTCGCGTCATATTGCCACCACCACACGTGGCTGAACACACTGACCAATTACCAAACGGTGAATAACCGCCGTCGACTGAAAACATTTCAGAAATATGATTGTCAGAAAACAAATGCCAAGCAGGTGAATCAAAATTGAAAGAGAGAAGTTCTACCTTACCTGGACAGAGATTGGTGTTACAGATCCTCTCCTCTCTAGGGGGACCTTTGGAGTCACAGTTCATTCCGCCATATTGTGCAAGGGGGTCGGTACACGTTCTTGAACGGAACTGTTTCCCTCCACCACAGGTACCACTACATCCTTCCCATTCTGACCATTCACTGTACTCACCATTCACTAAATATTCAATCAAACATTAATTAACCTTCAAGAGTACAAGAAGAAATGTAACAGGTATTTTTCACTGTACAAGTTTCCAGACACGATGTCATTAGATGAATTTCAAATTAGTTTCCCTTGTTTTCGGCTTCAAAATCCAACAATAAAAGTATTAAAAAACGTAAGGTTTTCACAGAAATACGCACCCGGACAGAAGAATGTGTTGCATTTTCTGGACTCTTGGTCAGCGCCAAGATGGTCACATGACTTGCCACCAAATTGAGGGCTTGGATTGCTACAATTTCTGCTCCGAAGTTGAGATCCACCACCGCACGTCATCGTACATTGAGTGAATTGTGACCAGTTCGTAAAACCACCATCAACTGGAAAAATGAAAATGAAGCATCTAAATTTTAGTTTGCCGTCGTTGTAACTCTAATGTGATACATGAACATATTTTAATTTCGTCATGTTGATGGCATATCTGTGTCTGTCTCATCAGGGACCGGGGTTAGACACCAACAATATATAGTTGTCTAATTATAATTTCACCACAATCTGTTTGATTCAACGGGGATTGGTGTCAAGTATTATCCAATTTAGTGCACAAAATGTTTTCGCGATGACTTATAACGCCAGAGAGTTTGAATCTCGCTCGAGACAAATAATATTTTTGTTGTACTCTGCAGTGAATAATATGAAACTAGTTTTCCATATCTCTGAGTTCTGAAATAGTGATCCCAGTGAAACAATATTGGAAGCCTATCAAGCACATATGAAGCCAGTTTTTTATATCCTGAGTTCTGAAATAGTGATCCCATGCAGTCAATTCAGCCAGCAATATTGGAAGCCTATCAAGCACATATGAAGCTAGTTTTTTATATTTTGAGTTCTGAAATAGTGATCCCAGTCAAAGGCAGCAATATTCGCAAGCCTATCAAGTACATATAAAGCTAGTTCTTTCTATCTCTGAGTTCTGAAATAGTGATCCCAAGCCTATCCAGCACATATGAAGGCACTCACCTGGACACGGCTGTGTATTACAGGTTCTTGTCTCAGAATCAGCGCCCAAGCCTCTGCAATCTCTTCCGCCATCTGGAATAGGGTTAGTACAGTTCCTGATTCGTTCTTGCATCCCACTTCCGCATGATGACGTACATCCGGTCCATTCTGACCAATCAGTGTAGCCGCCATTAACTAAAATTTAAAACAGTTTGCAGTTGACGAATTTATTATAATACACCCTTTCGATAATTACGTCACACATACTTTTTGATCTTGGAGCCTCGTTCTCATTAATAAAGAACGCAAGGTGATTGGCACACGATTCATGAGAGCGAGGCTCCCAGGCCAGATGAAGGAAGAACAGTTTAGAAATGATAGAAATATTCAGTATAAGTTGGTTTAGTTGCTAACTTACTTGGCCCAGGAGGAGGGGCAGGAGGCCCAGGTGGAGGACCAGGAGGTCCAGGGGGCCCAGGTGGAATGCCAGGGGGACCAGGAGGAGGGCCAGGGGGCCCAGGAGGAGGGCCAGGGGGCCCAGGTGGAGGGCCAGGAGGGCGAGGTGGAGCAGCTGCGGGGGCGCTAGGAGGAGAGGGTCGATTGGGAGCCCTTGCAGGAGGAGCTCTAGTTGGAGGTGCTTCAGTCGGTGGGAGTGTCGGAGGAAGTGAGGTGGGAACATTGCTAGTTGCTTTTGTCGGAGTGGGGGGTGAGGGGGTAGGACCTCGGTGACATTGTTCTGTGATCTGGCTTTCACGACCTGGACCTGTAGAGAAAAGAAATAGAGTCAAACACAACAGTCAACATAACAACATAACAACAGTCAACATAACAACAGTCAACCTAACAACAATCAACATAACAACAGTCAACATAACAACATAACAACAGTCGTATCATATTGCAAAGTTTGCGATAGCCTCATTTTTATGATTTTCGAAAACCTAAAAATAAAATTAAATATTAAACATTGATTTCGTATCATCAACGTTACCTGGTTTCATTGAACAAGTACAAGAGAGTCTTGAAATGGTCTTCGAGTCCAAAGCGATAGTGTAGATAACGAAATCATCCAACGAGCCATGAAAGGGATAATGTCCATTACAGCTACCAATTTCTGTTCTTCCTGTCCAATCTTGCGTCAGTTTGCCTTTTGCTTTCACTTTCTTTATTTCTTTCGAGTTCACAAACACCACAGCTTCTCCTATACGAATATATTTTCCACGCTCAATACTTGCACAAATTAAAGATATTTGCAGATGGCGAGGATATCTCTTGAAACCATCATCACACGTCTGAGATTACCTCTAGTTGTTGTAATTATTGTTGCTGTTATCCTTGTCGTGGTTGTTGCTGTTGTTATTATCAGGGTTTGTTGCTGTTGTTGTTGTCGTTATTGTTATTGTTGTTGTTGTTGTTGCCGTTATTGCGCTTGTTGTTGTTGTTATTATTGTGTTTTTGTTGCTGTTGTTGTTATTAATCTCTTAGGTGATTAACGCGTAATAATCACCTCAACGGCAACCAATCAGCGTGGAGAATTTTCAATAATCACCTATGTAATTATACTAATGTTGTTTAGTTTGCAGTTTACGTAATAATTGGCAAGATCTTTATTGTGATGGTGCAAGCTAGTAATCAATGATGGTATTACAGTGAGTGATCCTACCTTTACTGCTGTCATATGTAGCTGCAACATGTGCCCACTGACCAGCAACAACTGCACGCTCAGATGTAATCTCAAACAAATTCTCGTCCTGTTCATTTTTATGACACCAAGTAATCTTGCCTGATTTTGACGCCAAATAATAATTGGACTTATAGGAGCCTTGCCGAGATGTAGTGAATAAAGTCTGCTCGCCCTCCACAGTTGAAAACTTTACCCACAAAGCAACGGTAACTGCTTGAGTTGGTTTAGGGTGGAAGCGACTACCATCTACGGTAATTGACCCTCCGATAAACGACCCCGCTAATCCACAGCCATTCTGTACCCCTACGACATTGACCCCAGCGGACATCTGTCCCCGGTTACTGTGTCCTGATACGTCTGTTATAAAGGGGAATTTGTGGTTGTCAAAAGTGTAGTATAATGCAAGGTAGTCCCAATCAGGGAGTGGGGAAGATGAAGGAGGCGGGACTGTGGGAGGTAGTGATGTAGGGGGAGGGGTAAGGCGTGTTTCAGGGGGGTTTGGTGGCGATGGTGGCGTGGGGGTAAGATTTGGTGGTTTTGTTGGGGACGGAGATGTGGGTTGAGGCAAAGCTGGAGGGCTAGGCGTGGCTGGAACCCCGGGTGGGGCTGGAGTCCCAGGGGGAGTTGGAGGTTGAGGCAAGGCTGGAGGGCTAGGTGGGCCTGGAGTCGGTGGGGGAGCTGGGGGTTGAGGCAAGGCTGGAGGGCTAGGCGTGGCTGGAATCTCAGGGGGAGCTGGAGGTTGAGGCAAGCCTAGAGGGCTAGGTGGGGCTGGAGTCGCTGAAGGTTGAGGCAAGCCTGGAGGGCTAGGCGTGGCTGGAATCCCAGGGGGAGCTGGAGGTTGAGGCAAGCCTGGAGGGCTAGGTGGGGTTGGAGTCCCAGGGGGAGCTGCAGGTTGAGGCGTGGCTGGCGGGCTAGGCGTGGCTGGAGTCCCGGGTGGGGCTGGTCTTGGAGCCGGGGGTTGCGGTAAGGCTGGCGGGCGAGGGGGGCTTTTAGCTGGAGCAGGTATTGGGGAAGGTAGTTGTGATGGGGGTCGAGGTGTGGGTTGTTGAGATTGTTTTGGTTGATTTGTTGGCTTCAGAGGTTCACATCCATTGGCGTTTTCTGGAATACCTAGAGAAAATTACAAAAGTAACATTTGACAAAACAATCTATAAATATCTTTACATATTTTTCTCTCAATGTCATTATAAGTATTATTTACCTGTCAGCATTAACGAATCAGGGAAGACGTCTTTGCCAGCCAAAGTTTTCTCATCATCTAAATGATCTTGTATAGGTTTCAGTGGATGATCAACAGCCTTAGCAAAGTGTAGGGTGAAGTAAACGATCACAGAGCTCACGGCTTTTGGATCGTAAGGATAACAACCAGGCCTGGAAATAAATGGTGAACTAGACTCAGTTCTAGCAAACGGTATACGGTCTTTACGTACAGTCCTAAATTGTTCATCCTAGAGGTCCAGTAAGGATTATCTCTTATTGATCCAGTGTTACTACAGGAGGAAACCTAAACTAAACTAACTTTATTTATACTGGATAGCTCTATCAGTTCTAAACTGTTCCTTCTAGAGGTCCAGTAACGATCATCTCGTATTGATCCAGTGTTACTACAGGAGGAAACCTAAACTAAACTAACTTTATTTATACTGGATAGCTCTATCAGTTCTAAACTGTTCTTCCTAGAGGTCCAGTAACGATCATCTCGTATTGATCCAGTGTTACTACAGGAGGAAACATAAACTAAACTAACTTTATTTATACTGAATAGCTTAAACAGTTCTAAACTGTTCTTCCTAGAGGTCCAGTAACGATCATCTCGTATTGATCCAGTGTTACTACAGGAGGAAACATAAACTAAACTACCGTTATTTATACCGGATAGCTTTATCAGTTCTAAACTGTTCAGCAAGGACCATCTCTTATTACTGTATAAAATACATACTCGAAACCATTAACATTCACGCGATCAAAATCTTTTCCGACTGAATAAATTTTGGTAATCTGAAATGAAGAGAAATAGTTGAGATTCCTAAAGCAGTTTCAAGGCTGATATTTTGAACAAACGTTGGATTTCTTTTATAGTAACATAAAGTTTCAATTCTTACCGCCTTTTTTAGTGATTTTGCAAATCGCTGAAAGTTCCGGTTATAACTGTTTGACAACTCGTTAGACCAAACTTGCTTTATAACCAAGGAAGCGCAAATATCCTTAGCTAAAAAATAGATCGTTTCAAAATAAAAATGTATTAGGGTGAGTTGAATGAGAGTAATGTGTTGAAAAACGAGAGCTAACCGAGTTTTTCCACATACTTTGAGGTGTTTTATACGCCGGTTATAAACAGCTTTCAATTTTCAATTCTCAAACGGACTTGTACTTAAAGAGGGGTTTATTATCGTGGTACCAAGACAACGGTGCTGGTTTCTATTGTGCTTTGTTCATGAATTAGTAATGATTTTGAGAAATATGTAAAACCACGAACCTTTTGGAACAGACGGCCGTTTCACACCGCAGCCTTGAAAGTTTGGTCCCATGGCAACGCTCACGCCATCAGGACAGCAACCACATACTACTTCAAAACAGGGAACTTTCCGATTCCCCTGTTTCGCGGCGTTGTTTTGAAGTGCGATTTTCTTTCCGGGACTCTTTGCTTTGTTACGAAGTTTTTGAGGACAGCCAGCCTTGGTTGGGTCAGGCGATGGTGTTTGTCCGTCTGCACAACAACCGTATTGACCACAGTGAGAATCAAACGACGACAAAACTTTGGAAAGAACTAAAAAATACCAATGTATTTTTTCTGT